TTTGGGGGCCTTATCATATTGGAAAACTCACCAAACTTGGCGGAGGCCTTAAGCCTGTTTAAAAATTTTGATTTTTAAGGTCATCACAAAAATCCCACAAGAAATGGCTCAATAGCGCCACCTAGAAATTTCAAAGGACCCTTTGCTATTCACTTACTTTATCCTAGAGACATGAAATTTGGTACACTTGTAGAGCTCCCCAGGACGCTCAAAATTTACAATTAATGTCATAGTGCAAGTATCACAGGAAGACAGCCATTTTGGATTGAAGGTCCAATTTTGAGGCCATTTTTGCCGTTTACAGCCTTCGTATTTGATCGAACTCCTCCTAGGGATTTCGATTGATCGGCTTCAAACTCGGTCAGTCTGTTCATAAGGCATGTCCCATCTAAAGTTATCAAAATGGTGAGTTTTTGAGTATGCTGAAGGGGGGTTAGCAGGGGTCAAAGTTCACCTACTCGCCATAAAAAATAAACTGCTATATCTCCTACACAGAAACTCACAGAGGCACCAAAGTTTCTATGATTGATCATCATTGGGTGTCCTACAATACCCTATGGTCGAATGATGACATCACTTTGGCCACGCCCCCTGAGAACAGGAAGTGTAATGTTTTACTGTGAACTTTCACTATCTGACCCCTTTGACCTCATCAACATGAAACTGTGCCCAGACACAGAAGACATGTTGGTGTGTTGAGGATTCCAACCCCGACCAGCTTCGATGGAGCAGGTGGGCGTGGCGGCGTGGCGAAGTGACCTGTAACGCCATCGCCATACGTTTTGCTCTCAATTCCACAGTTTCTGTTCCAGCTGCTCCAACCTCACAAGGATGGATCTTCATCCACTCCCCGACAGGAATCCATCACAATATTTGGTGGGCGTGGCCTAATTTCTCTATAGCGCCCCCTAGAAAACTTTAAATGATCAGCCCCAAGCCATGCTTTAACCTACAATTACGAAACGTTGTACACATGTGTACCTTGTCAGGACTTACAAAAAAGTCTCTTGGAGCCATGGTCTAAACCCCACAGGAAGTCGGCCATTTTAGATTGAAGTTCAGATTTTGACCCCATTTTTGCCGTTTACAGCCTCCGTATTTGATCGAACTCCTCCTAGGGATTTCGATTGATCGGGTTCAAACTCGGTCAGTCTGTTCATAAGGCATGTCCCATCTAAAGTTATCAAAACGGTGAGTTTTTGAGAATGCTGAAGGAGGGTTAGCAGGGGTCAAATTTCACCTACTCGCCATAAAAACATAAACTGCTATATTTCCTACACAGAAACTCACAGAGGCACCAAAGTTACTGTTATTGATCATCATCGGGTGTCCTACAATACCGTATGGTCGAATGATGACATCACTTAGGCCACGCCCCCTGAGAACAGGAAGTGTAATGTTTTACTGTGAAAGGTCGCTATCTGACCCCTTTGACCTCATCAACATGAAACTGTGCCCAGACACAGAAGCCATGTTGGTGTGTTGAGGATTCTAATCCCGACCAGCTACGATGGAGCAGGTGGGCGTGGCGGCGTGGCGAAGTGTCCTGTAACGCCATCGCCATACGTTTGGCTCTCAATTCCACATTTTTGGGCGCAGCTGCTCCAACCTCACAAGGATAGATCTTCATCCACTCCCCGACAGGAATCCATCACAATATTTGTAGGGTGTGGCCCAATTTCTCTATAGCGCCCCCTAGAAAATTTAAAATGATCAGCCCCAAGCCATGCTTTAACCTACAATTACGAAACTTTGTACACATGTGTACCATGTCAGGACTTACAAAAAAGTCTCTTGGAGCCATGGTCTAAACCCCAGAGGAAGTCGGCCATTTTAGATTGAAGTTCAGATTTTGATCCCATTTTTGCCGTTTATAAACCATTTCAGTAATTCGCCACTTGGGGTCAGTATTGCTCCACAAATGAAACAGCAGATAATCAGGATGAAGAACAATATCAGTATTTCGCCAGTAGGTGTCAGTGTTCCTCCACTGATGATAAACAGATCCACCGGCGGATGGGCGTGAAAACTTTGTGAGTGTGTTGCCATGACATTTCTAAAAGGATAGAAATGTCTCAGATAATTTTTGTTGAATTAAATCATGCAGTAAATGTAGCGTTTTCTTACTTCTTACAAACCATTTCAGTAATTCGCCACTCTGAGTAAGTATTACTCCAACAATGAAATAGAGTGCTTTAGAAACACAGCTGAAAATGATGAAAAATGACGAACTGTAGTACTTCGCTATGTGCATACGATCGGCTGTAAATGACACGTGGATCATCCGACTGACGCCAAATTGGATACGTATGACCTTTGTTGACCTCTAAAGAGAACAACAGCATTGAAATATATTTTCACTCCACTGCGCGTCCTACATTAATCCGCCAGCTATATTTCCTCGCTAAAGCAATGAATCTATACCACATTTTTTTGCATCGTCAAGGATAGCCGCCGAACGCATAGATGCGTACCGCCTGGTGGACGGGCGCGGAAACTGCGCAACAACTTCTGTCTTAGCACGTGCGCAGCTTTGATGAAAACTGAGCAACAGCTTCCGCGGTGCGGGCCGAGGAGCTGAAAACTGCGTGAGAGCTTCTGTGGTGGCTGACGTGAGGCAGCGGTTCCTCGTACCCCGCGGTGGCAATAGGCCGGAGCGGCGCTTGGCTGCGAGGGCCGTTCGAGGCTGCTTGCAGCTTTAATTTCACCTTGGTCTTCATTTCCTTGTTTCAGAATGAAATAGTTCAATGTTTCACTACAAACTGATCAGTTTGTGGCTCAGATTCAGATTTCAGGTCCGGATATTTAACACGTTCAGGAAAACAGTTTAATATCAAGTTTTCCCCTCGGAGATTTTCCACGTCTGTAGATTGAGATAAAGGAAATAGAAAGTTAAAGCGTTATCTGCCGTATGGCAAGCCAATTTAGCATAAATTCGGTTTTACCGCCTTTACGTTCCCGATATCTCAAATTGTTTTATTACTACACGTTTTAGTGTTTTAACGTTTCTCTAATTATATTTTGTCTAGGCAACATTTCTATTTGAGATTTCTCTAATTACATTCTGAACAGCAGATATGACGTCACATTTACCATTGACTTGTATGGAGACTTCAATTCTCGATATCTACAATGAATTACTGACCATCTGAAATACACATTTCAGAAATCTACAATTAAATTATGATTAGACATGAAGTAATTTCAACATATCTCGATTTTAGTTTTGACTAGTCATAATTCTAATTAAATTAAATCAGTTAAAGATATTTTAAATATATTTGTATTTTTTGACATGGAGAGTAAATGATGATTTAATGACAGAGACAAACAACCTGCACACACATACACTCACAACTAGAGAGAGTTTAGAGACTAATTAACCTGACAGTCATGTTTTTGGACTCTGGGAGGAAACTGGAGAACCCAGAGAGGACCACCATGCACATGCAGAATGTAATAAGGATAGTCAAAAACCAAATGTATGTTAGGACAGCCTGCCATAAAACATATCTATGGCAAGTCAGAATTACATTTTTAGATTTCTGAATTCAGAATTGTGTGTAAGCTCCTTAGTGTTGAAACAGAGGTTTGGCGTCTTGCCCTGATGCCACAATGTAGAAAAACTCAGCAATGTGGAAGATATAGAGAACACAAAACTTCATAGACTTGAAGAATTTCCTTTTTATTTGTGTCTGACAAATACAAAACCTAAAAGAGTTTATGTGTTTAATGTTAAATAACTTCAAAGTATCTTTAAACAGAATTATGACTCATAACAAAAAGCGAGATCAATTTACTTGCAAACCAATTTCAGATATCTGGAATGTAAGTGCGGTGAAATTAATGTTGTAACAGCCTGCCATACACAGACAGTCATCAGCTGCAACAGTGCGCCCTCTGCTGCAGAAAATGATCAACAGTCTTTATCACACGGTTTTAAGCTTTTAAGGCTTAAAAACCTGATGGAAAGTAATGCATCAGTTTGTAGCACTTTGTGATTCCTTCACATTAACACTCACTGTTATGACCTTTTTGACCTCTGGCTCATCTGCAGGATGATCCCATCCAGTTTAGCTGTTCTTCTTCTCACCTGTGGAGATATTGTGGTCCATTTATCATCTTCTGCTTTTCAGTGATTAATCTGCAGAGTTCTCCATGGAGGGAAAATCTCTCCACTGATTCACATCTGTTGCTTCTAGAATGACAGAAATGCTGTTTGCAGTGAAGGTGTGAAATCATCTGATTTCATTGGAGATGTATTTTAGTATTGTTGTGCTATCAGTGCATAAAACAAGTTTTTCCATCTTTATTTGAAACTGTTTTTGCAGCAGTTTGTTCTCTTGGATTGCAAACTGCAGCAGTCATCAGTTCCAGCCTGGGGATTGTAAGTTTTCTTAAGAGGGGCGACTCTGGCCTTTCCCAGGATGAAAGCATCATGTAGCATGTTATTCTTTTCCTGTTTTAAACAGAATGTTGTTCTCAACTTGCATCAGAGAAATGATCAAGTTGTGCTTCCTCTGTTCATCTGCACCACTGTAAATCCAGTCCTCTCTCTCACTTGGAAACTGTGAGAGAGAGGACCAAATCTGGATTTGGATCTGTGTCTAAATCCAGATCCTTGATTTCTTTGCTCTGCTTTCTTCTGGGATGGATGTGAGCCCTGTGACTGCTGCCAGTCAGCCTCTCCACTATGTGCACTGCATCTTCTTCTGTAGGAACAGATTTTAAACAGTCATTCACAAAAAATTTCAACCATTTCAGCTGGAAACTGTTGCACTTTATAACCAGCAGTTCTTTGCAGAATAAATTTTGCACAGCTTTGTGAAGATATGCATCTCATACACTTTACATTGTTCAAACATAAAAGAACCTTCATTCTGAAGTTGTGATTGCGTACTTTCAGTGGAGATCTAAAACCTGAAATTCAACAGGATGTGGGCGAAGAGGCTTGAGCTTCGAAACACAGCGGAAGCCATCATAAGCTGAGAGCTGGTCTGCAATGGAGCTCGGATCTGTTTGCCTGCTTCTTGGTGAGAATACCTTCCTCTTTTTTTACTTTCAACACCTCAGTCAAGATTTTCTCTCTTTGTATAGCTTCTTATGTTTCTTATTGTGGTCTCTATGCAGACCAAAGGTCATCCAGTAGTTCAATCACAGCAGTGCATTATGGGCTCAACACAACAGGGCCACATGAAAGACTGTGAGAGGTGAAAGTTTTCTGACATCAGAGAGCAACACAAGCTGATCATTTCTCAGTTTTCATGAGTCGTGCTGCGTGTGTACATCTGAAGCATTAAGTATGAACTTAATGCTTCACATGCACAAATTACTCTGACTGTCGCTTCATCACAGAAGCTCCGTAGGAAGTGGATGGAAAGAGGCATTTCTGAATTAACACTTAAAATAAAATAAAAACCTTCCTAAATATAAGAACCTGAAAATCTTCAGACATGCTTGGTTTGAGACAGAAAAAAACTTTTAGTTTTTTAAATCATTCATATTGGCCGTTTTTGTTATGAATTAAATCGGCTCTTTCCCAGGACAGCATCAAAAAAGGGTTGACCCACCCAAAAAACTAGCAAATAACATCTCTTGTGTGTCAGTTGCCCCTGAACAAGTTTGCTGTTACTTGTATACATGTGTAACGGGTAAGTTTCTCTTTGTTTCTGTTGAGAACTGAGAGGCTACTATACCTGCTTTCTGCTGCAAATAAAAACATAATTGCTCACATTTTAATTGGCTGGTGTGCAACAGAAGGAGGGGTTCGTCCAGGGCACCTTTCCCACAGGAACCATATATTTATATTTTAATCTTACACAGTTAAGCATGGTTAATCATAACCACAGCGTCAAAGTATTATTAACTTGATTCACTGTTTTAATCAGTTGAATCTGAGAATACCTTTCTCAGATTCACCAAATTTTCACTAATTTGGTGAAATAAGCATGGGAGAAAGGCAAACAATACAAGCAAAAAATTCACATCATGGATCATTTTTTATGCTTTTCCTTCGTACTGTGGATAATTATCTGATCTCCATGCTGAGTTCTTCATGTATGCCGTTACAGAAGAGTCAGCTGGTCCATTACGACCTGCTACCTTTAAGAGTTGACAGTCAAAATGGCTTCCCAGAAGAAGTCGTGATCTCCTTTGTTAGCCTCTATCTAAGTTACGGCCCAAAGACGGCGTTCTCCAGCTCTTAGTATCTTGTAGTCTTAGCTTTCAGGGCATTGCCTAACATGTCATTCCTTTTAGCTTTAGCTTAGCAGCTAGCTAACAGAGATAGAAAGAAAACATATTTATTCTCAACCTCACCAAAACGACTCCTCAAATGACGTTTATTCTGTACCCATAAAAAGGTTTCAAATCTGCTGATGTACTGAAACTCTGCTGTGGTTGTTAAGTAGTAATACAGTTAGCAATACTCTCCAACTATAAGACTGAAACCATGAGAAAGTAGGTTTATTCCACAGAATCACAGAAACCAAACAGGTAGGAGTGTAACAAGGAGCATGTTGGTGTAGAAATGTAACATCAGTGGAAGTCATCGTGTTTTTTTAACCAGCTTTGTAGTGATTCATTGGAAAAGAGCCAATCAATAACTCAGTAGTTTCAATGCTTAAATGAAAGTAAGGTCTATGTAGGTCTAACCATTAACCTAATGATGTCGAACCCACAGCTGCTTCTCTGTTGTTTCATGTCTGAGCAGTCGCCACACTGAGCATCGAACCCAACAGACGTCAGTTCTTCCGTTATGAAGCCTTCAAGCTGAGCTGTTCAGTACCAGGAAACTTCGGCAACTGGACGGTGATGAGAAATGCCTCGAATAAGTTAACTTCATGTGAATACTGGGGCCGCCCGAATGGTTCCTCCTGCATCAACCACAGTGTCTACAAATCAGACACTGGGCTTTACTGGTGCCAGTCTGAGCAGGGAGAGTGCAGCAACGTCCTCAACATCACAATAAACAGTGAGCTCTTTTTCATTAAAACTTTATTAGTATTGTACTTTTGACAACGCACTCATTTCAATAAAACATTTCAGCTGGTGTTGTGATCTTGGAGAGTCCAGCACTTCCTGTGACGGTGGGAGACGACGTCACACTTCGCTGCTCCTTCAAAGAACGATATGATCCAACATCTTCATCGCATTTCTCTGCTACCTTCTACCGAAACGGTGTGTTTATTGGAACGGAGCCTGAAGGAGAGATGATCCTACGGAACGTGTCGATGTCCAGCAAAGGTTTCTACAAGTGCAAACATCCCAGCAGAGGAGAGTCACTGGACGCCTGGCTGGACGTCAAGCGTAACTATCATCACTTACTGAACATATTTAAATGTCACACTTTCAAACATAACCACCTGTTGACTGAAGTTGTAAATCTGCAACAATAAAAGTCATGCAGACAAAGTGATTTATGTAAACCACTAATGCCAATTGATGCATTTTTAATACATAGTCAGTTTGAAAGCAAGATTTAAGGTTCACAGATATATTACGGCTTATTTCAATGTTCAAGTTCATTTTAATTTAGGCTGTAATAATTAATATGTTTATTTATCATATTTTATTCGGTAAAGCTTTAATAAATCACACTGACATTTTTTGTAAATTATGTCTCATATTTCTCTGTGTAAAGCTAAACCACCCAAAAGCGCCGATCCGCCTCATACGCCTCCTTTACTGATGATATTGATCACCACTGTGCTGTTCATCATCTACACCGTCATCTTCATTATGTGTTTGATCATATACAGAAACTGGGCTCGAGGTAAGGAGACATTAAAACATGAACAATGTGGTAAATAAAGACGTTTCTAACAGGAATAACATTTGAAGCTGTTCAGTAGCAGATAAGATGTGAATAATGTGATAATTGTTGATAAGTTGGAACAATTATCGCTACTTATCGTTTAACTTTTACCATTCTAAGAGTTCTCGGATGATTACTCCAGGAGGTCATAAAATATCCCATAATTAAATCTAAAGCTCCCCAGACTCAGTTAAGGTCAGAGTTCATGACTCAGCAATAAAAACAGAGAGACTGGAAAACATGTAAATCATGAATCATCTGACCTAAAACTAAACAGGAACCTCATAGCTAAGCACGGTGACGGCTGTGATGATCTGGGCTGCTTTGCTGCTTCAGAATCTGAAATGAATTCATGTGAAAATCAGAACCATCAGTTTTAATGTGGGACAGAAAAACATCCTTACTGATGACTCTGGACAATCATTGCATTCAGGCCTTTCACTCCTGGCTTAATGAAGCAATAGCATTGGAAATTGTTTTTTAATACATTTTGCCTCAAACATTCATGTCTTTATGATTTCATTGCAAAGCCGCCATGTTTTCTGTTCTACTTTCCTTTGCAGACCGAGCTGAGGCCAAACGGAGACGTTCAGAGCTCTGCCCAGACCACTGACTGCTCATGAACGCATCGTCAGCTTCAGACTTAATCAAGCTTATCTTGTTTTTCTCTGTGTATTATAATCAAACCCAAAATTATTCAGACCACTGGAAAATCATTTTAATTCAACCAAGAAATTTGTATGTCATGGAAACGCCATAGTAAATATCCAATGTATTTTTGACCAAACAATAAGTTCACATTCTTCTATATAATCAAAGGAAAAGACTTCATTGGCGTTTTCAGCATTTAAACCCACTATAGTTAGAATTACTGTTCATGCTGAGCTCCACTGCTTTTTCCTTTATTTCTCTTCCTATTTATCACATTTCTGTTTTATTTCGTCTAGTTTCTTATTTTGTTTGTATTTAGTTCACTTCCTATTTCTGATGTCATGCCAGTTCCTGAAATTCACTGTGTGTTTTGTGGTGTTAGTTTCTGCTGTTTGTATTTAGATCCTCCATAAAAATAAACAATGTTTTTTATCAGAGCTTTTAGGGTAAAGAATCATTTTATTCTGCAACAATATGTGTTGTAGCTTCTTGGCAGACTGCAGGAACTGTTACTTACATGGCAGAATAGATCTAAGCTAATATATAAAGATGAGTCAATTTTTCATTTGATTTGTTTGTTTTTTGGCAGCACATGTAAATAATCAAGCATTAATGTTTTTTTTTCTGTTGTTGTTGTTCTGGGTTTGAGACAAATTGTTTTTATTTTTTTATTTTAAACAAAATTAAAAACTGTGTGGAAAACATGGTGTTTGTATTTAGACATATTTCTACAATTCCACTTTTTATTTTTGGTTTATCCTAGAAACTTTAAGTAAATGCACTCAGTTTGTCTTCTGCTTTATTTGGCGCCATCTGGTGGCCAGATTTCAGAATTGTCCACACCTTTGTTTCAGCCTTGTGTTCAGAGTGGGATATTTCCCACTCTGTGTGGACTCTGTGTTTTCTGGGACTTTCCGGGACTTTAGGAGATCCTGAACTGTTTTCCATCTGGAGATAGAAAACAGATCTCAGCCTGGAGCAACAAAAACATGAATCCAATTTATTCTCATCTGAAAACTACAACTATTTCTGATATTTGGGAAGGATACTGACAAATATAATAAAAAGCAAAAGGAACACAAAAAAATGCAAAGCAAGACAGAATCATAAATAAATAGTTACAAAGTGAGTCACAATACAACTTTGTTGTCAGTTTGATCCAGAATCTGATATTTGTCCAATAAAATAGCGACTGATGTCCTAATAGATTAGTTTTACCGATCAGACACTAATTATGATATTTTTTTTAAAAAGAGAGAGAATCATACCATATCGGATATCTGATACTATCGGATACTATCATCGACCAACGTCAATAATCTGATACGCGCAAACGGGAACAAAAACTATAGCGGACTATAATCAGGATTAAACTGTTAATATGCTGGCTCCGGTCTGACAACTACTTCAAAATAGTAAAATGTGCTACAGTATTAGCTTCCACCTTTACTTCCGCAAACGACCACTTCTTCTTCTATTTGTATGGCGATTGTTGGTAAAACATTGGAGGCGCTTTATGTGATATTAGTGCGCCCTCTACTGCGCATGCGGAGCACTTTCAGGTCCTTTGCGGTTCACACAGAAGAAACAAACAGATCGCAGTGTGAACAACAACCACAAAAACTAAAGAAAAATCAAATCTCACAGATTTGGGTCTCTTCAGGTAGCAGTGTGAACGGAGCGTCTCTGTCTTTCTGTCTCTTTCTCTCTCTTTCTCTCTCTTTCTCTCTCTCTCTCTCTTTCTGTCTCTCTCCCTCTCTCTCTCTCTCTCTCTCTCTCTCTCTCTCTCTCTCTCTCTCTCTCTCTCTCTGTCTCTCTCTCTCTCTCTCTCTCTCTGTCTCTCTCCTCTCTCTCTCCCTCTCTCTCTCTCTCTCCCTCTCTCTCTCTCTCTCTCTCTCTCTCTCTTTCTCTCTCTTCCCTTAGCTGCAGGTTTAAACAGGAAGTCCAACTGGTCCAACCTGTTGTCGCTTTGACAGGCAAAAACATAACTTGCTGTTCTGCGAATACTTTCACTGTAGTGGAGAACTCTTCTTTATGTTTCTGAAAGTGTTAATTATGAAAAACTTTTAGTTTTCTTTGTCTGTCTTTAAAACTCTGAGTTTAGTAACATTAAAATGTGTGAGAATAAACCTCACCTACTGTAAAAACCTCTTCAGCTGTTATTCTGCCCCCGGGCAGGTATCTGTATATTTATACATCATATTGTGTTTGTTATTCCAGTGAACGCGTTAGACTGACCTACTTACTCCTATTTCCTCTCCCAGGGCATGATCAGCCTGGCAAAGTCATTTAAAATCTGATTAAAATAATCAAATCACCTGATGTGACATGAAGAACAGGAACATTTGACATAAAATTCCCCAAAAAACATATTTAATACAAACACAAACATAATTCAAAGCAAATTTAACCATTAATGAGAAATAAATCATTAATGTCAGATAAAATTTTTAAAACTAATTATGTGCAATTGAGTTACTGAGGCCTGCAGTAGCAATGCATAGCAGAGCAGCGCATTGCCTTGCAAGATTTCATATTATATTTTAATATAGCAGCAGAAGTTATTTTTAATGGTAATCTGTGTGATCACTGTCCTGTGATAGATGTGGCTAAATAATTATTTTTCTGTTTTTTTACTGTATTTAATTTGTTAAATTCAGAAACAGATATTCTTAACTTTCAATGCATTCAAAATGTCAAAATGTTAAAAAAAAGTCTGTAAAAAAGTGATTAAAGCCCATTTCCTGCCCATTGAAATGCAAAGTATGTCTGGAATTACTCTCAAAGGGTTTATATCATAGAGACAAGGTTGGTAAACATGATAATAAAATGTAATGAAACAAAAATAAAAAATATCATTGTCCAAAAACAAACACAGAGACACAATCTGAGTCACAAAACGACTTTATTGACACATAGATTTATAATCTGATCTTCTCATCTGTACAGTAATCTGAACAACATTTGATCTGACAAAGCAATAAATCTAAATAAAATTAGTTTGGGTGAATAAAAATCCTCCTTAGCAGCGACAGCTTCTGTGGCTGAACAGAAACAGGAAGGGGCAGCACCCAAACAAACTCCAACATCAACAAAACAAACAGCAGTTTCATAAATGCAGCTGATCTTTGAGCAGAGAGGAAATGAAAACAAATATCTCTCAGCAACAATGATGGAGGTTTAAACAACCGAAACTAAAATACACATTTTAACCAACCGGACCTCAGATCACAGTTTAATGAACTCCACAGAGTCTTTACTGAAGAGCGGTCTGAGCCCAGCGTGCAGCGGCTCAGTGAATCTGGTCTGGACTCTGTGGATCAGAGTCATGGTACCAGAGACGCTGTAGAAAGACAGAATACCTGCTCTGTGGTCCAGATACACTCCCAGTCTGGAGGAAACTGGACCTGCTACTGTAGTTTTAACTTTGTTGTGATGAAACGTGTAACCGTCTGTGGTACAATTTAATGACCAAGATTTGTCGTTGAATCCAAACGGTTCTGCCTTGTTGATGTTCTGGTATGAAACTGCGACTCCAACTCCAGCTCCACCTCTCATCGCCACCTCCCAGTAACAACGTTCAGTCAGACTCTCTCTGCTCAGGACCTGATTATAAACACTGAATCTGTCTGGATGATCTGGATACGACTGTTGTTGGTCAGTTGATGTAACTTTTCTGTTCCCCTCAGACAATAACAGCTTCCTGTGTGCCGTGTTTGGATCCAGAGTGATTTCTTGAGAATATTTTAAGAATCCATCTCTGGTCTTTGGTTCTGGTTCTGCCAGTAGGACATCAACATCACTTATTGCCAGTTGAATGTTTGTCCATGAGTCGCTCAGGACGTCCTGTAGTTTGTCTCTGAGCTCTGACACAGCTGCTGTCACGTCCTCAAAGTGTCTCAGAGGACGAACAATGATGCTGGATGATCCTGTGGACTCACTGAGTGCTGGCAGTGAGGGGTAGTTGAGGAGAAACTGGGTGTGATCCTCTGTGTGTGAGAGCTGATCCAGTTCAGCGTCTTTCCTCTTCAGCTCAGTGATCTCCTGCTGCAGCTTCTCCTGAACATCTTTGACTCGACTCACTTCAGTTTCCTGCTGGGATCTGATCTGCTGCTTCACATCAGAGCTTCTTTCCTGGAGGAGACGGATCAGCTCAGTGAAGATCTTCTCACTGTCCTCCACTGCTTTATCAGCAGAGACATTGATGGCCTCCACCTCCTGTTGAAGCAGCTTCACATCTTTCTCTTGGTCCTGGATTCTCTGATGGATTTGTTGTCGACTCTCCTGGAGCTTCTTCTGCTTCTCAGCTCTTTCTGCTGCAGCTGGGACTGTTTCATGGCCTTTATGTTCATCCATAGTGCAGAGATAACAGATACACTGCTGATCAGGACGACAGAAAATCTCCAACTCCCTGTCATGACGGGAGCATTTGCTCTCCCGGAGGTTCTTGGAGGGATTCACCAACTTGTGCTTTCTTAAAGGTGGAGCATCGTGGTGAGGTTGGAGATGATCCTCACAAAAAGAAGCTAGGTTAAACAGGACTTGACAGCTTTCCTCTTCCTTCCTGTGCAGACATCGCAGGGCACATCTTCAGGTCCAGCATAACAGTGGTCAGCTGGAGCAGTTCCCATCTTCTTCAGATATTTAATCAACTCTTCTATCATGGAGTTTTTCCTTAACCCAGGTCTCTGTCCAAATATATCTCTGCACTGAGGGCAGCTGTGAGTTCCACTCTGATCCTCTCCATCCCAGTGGTTTTTAATACAGTTCGTACAGTAACTGTGTCCGCAGGGAATAGTCACTGGGTCCTTCAGTAGACCTGAACAGATAAAACAAAACACTTATCTCGTTCTGGTTGATCGCTCCCCATTTCAGCTCTCAGTAAGGATGACTGTGTTTGTTTATCTTCTGCAGCAGCAACAGCTCTGAGCTCTGATCTGCCACTCGTGTTTCTGCAGTGAATCAGGCTTTGCAGGTGTTTCACTCAGCAATAAACCTCCAGATCTGAAGAGGAGGGAACAGAGATGTGTTGACAAGATCCAGCAGAGGAGGAGTTATGCAGGAAAAAGGTTTGAGGTCATTGTCCTGGCGTGTCTAAGCCTGCTTGTTTTCCCAGGTTTCGGTGTAGAGTTACAGATGGTTGAAACTGAAAGCAGACAATGGTTTGACTGTACCATGTTAAACACAAATTGGAGATTGAATTTTTTAGCTATTTGGTTGTTTTGGGAATTAATGCTGTTTGATTTCATTCAGACATAAACATAAGGTTATAACTTGAAGATTTTAGACTTACAAATAAAAGATTTAGCCAATAATAGAATAAAAACTGTGTGCTCACCTGCAGTCGTGATTTTTGTCCTCAGCGTGCATCAGCCTGTGGTTATGGTTACACATCTGAGACAAGTAGACAATGGGTTGTGGTCAGTAAGCAGTCACTGTAGTTCATGAAGAGCCACAATACACCTCAAAATGCTGCAAGGCAAAGAGCATCACAAGACTTCATACCTGTCCAGGCTCCCATTCTGGCCGAGAAACTATTGTTTTTATAACAGTACCATCGGATACTTCCTGTATTCTCAAATCCAAACTTGACAAGTATGAGAGTTTATTTTTCAAGGGTTCATCTGATGAGTTTTAAACTTAGCAGAATAATGACTCGCACACTCCATCCTCGCCATCTTGGAATAGCACCAGCACCTTTATCACAGACGTCCACTCTGGTGACATCAGGAGAATCACTGCAGACAACAGATTATCTGCACTGAAAGCCTTTTCACACTCACTGGTCCATACAAAGGAGCTGCAGGGCAACACGAAGAGGTAATGGGAGAAAACGTTTCAAATCTTATGCAAGTCATGTGTCCACCTCAGTCTCCACTGGACACACTGGTCCAAGACATGTCAGTATGCTGAAGAAAGTGGTCAAGGATCCCTGTTTAATTCTGTTTAACGTGTTTATAATCAGCAATAATCATGTTTAATATATTTGTAATCAGACATGGCATGCAACTGCAGTCAAAGTTGATTAGAGTTTAATGGAGGTTGCAAATTATTGAGGTGTGATGTGTCACACGTAGATAGTAAAGGAAATATCAGGAAATAGATGAAGTGAAAGAACAAGGCTGACCGACCTAAGCATGATACACATAACCCAGGCAAAGGAGGAACCAAGCAATGGAGACTGCTGATCGGAAAGCAGATGGTCCAAAGAAGGAAGTGAGATGGGAAATTGACCTTTAAGCAATCTCATGTTAAGCAGAGCAGAGAACTCCATCTAAAGCAAGCTAATTACAGTGAATCAAAGTTGCAGCTACTTCTGTTTTCCTTTTGTGAGGCTGTGATTGACGAGGCTCTGGGCGTCTTAAAGTCGACTGCAGTGAAGAGGAACTTCAGGGTTTCCTTCCCAGCAGTCAACTCGCTGTCAACTGGATGGACAAAGACGCCTTGTATCAAGGTGAAGAGGATCCAAGACTCTGCAAGATCCAAGACCAAAAACAGATAAAACAGAGAGCTGCTTCGAGTCTCAGGAAATCGCTCCAACAATTCCCAATGACTGTGGTTCTAATTTGGGATTCTGCCAAAAGCTGAGACCTGAGGAACCCAACACTCACGGTTAAGTCAAGGACTCGTTAGTCAAGCAAGGATGGCTGACTGTCAGCAACCGGATAAAAATCTCCCCTGAAGATATCTGCCTCCTCAGTCTATCTGCTCCAGGCCCCCTGCTGGGGCCTGACAATGATAAATGCAGCTGAACCAACACTGTTAATACAGTCTTCCATGTGAGGGAGAGGGAGCGAGTCGGGCATAAAAGCAGCATTTGCCTTAGGAAGTCAGTACAAAGTTGTTGGACACCGTCAGGCTCAGCAGCTGGCAAACATGGAGGACTCCAGGGACTCCAGGGACTCTGTGGACTGGGTCTGGTTTTCCTGCCCATTCTCCAACAGATAACCAACGTCTTCTTTTGTCTAGGAGAAGCGATAAGCTGCTTCACTGGATCTGCTGTATCCACATCAATGTGATGTTCAGTCATGCAAATTTCAATGGAATGTCACGAAACAGATAGAGAAACCTTAAAGCACATGCAGCCCATAAACTCACAGTGAACATGTAGAGGTCTCTGAAACTCATGTCAAATACAGTAACAGTTTTTACTGGACACTCAGATATTTCACCATCCACTGCTTTATATAAAATATGTGATGTGTCACACGTAGATAGTAAAGGAAATATCAGGAAATAGATGAAGTGAAAGAACAAGGCTGACCGACCTGAGCATGATACACATAAACCCAGGCAAAGGAGGAACCAAGCAATGGTTTAACTCTAATTTACTGACAATACATTTATCATACACATGTACTTATGGAGACTAATTTAACTTAACAAAGCATGAAATTAATAATCAATAATCAATAAGTCAATAATCAGACGATCAGTCCTGGGCAGAAGTTCAAACTGATTGCAGGTTTCATTGCTTTGTTTTTTTTTCTGTTCAAACTGTCAACACGTCACAGTGGTGGGTGTGTTGCTCCAATATACACACCGCTTCATATTTTACCTTGGCCAGTGGAGGGCGCTAACACTACATTGTCTGATGAAACATTAATACATTTCCCTCTGCAGTACCGAGAGGTGGACACTAGATGTCCCTGTTCATCTGAGTCACATTACATGAACTCCTTCTGACATGTCAAGTCATCTCTGTTGTCTCCTGTCGGCCATGATGGAGATGTTGGGTGGAGTTGGTTTGAATTATGATATTATTGATAAACTGCTAAGTTCTAGTGTGCTCTGCATCCCCAGAACCAGAACCAGAACCAAACATGGAGAAGCTTTTATGCACAACAAAACTGCAAATTGCAAAACAGCTGCAGCACTGGGTTCCTTAAATCGGACGAAAACCCACCTGGTGCCTTTGGTTGGTACTGAATGGAACATTGATCAACATAGTTCATGTGTATTGATGATTCTGATGATGCATTGGATAAAATTTAATGTGTGGTTATTTTCAAAACTGGTTTCTGTTGATGTTTTCATGATGGAAAGCACTTTCTGTCTTGTAGCTAAAATGTGAAAATAAAGATGAAGTTTAAATTCCTTTGCTTCCCAAACCTCAGACTAGTTAGTTCCCTTTCTGTTGTCACATGATGAAACATTATCCCTATTGCAACACTGTGTTACAATTATGCTTATAATCAGCAAATCAGTTTAGATTCTCTACAAAAGAGAATATAAACCACGACTTATTCCATCTAATTTATTTTATAAATATAAAAATAGACCTTATTAATATTTGGGCCTATGTTAATTAGGCCCAAATAAAATAATGTCAATAATTATTTTAAGTGTTGCATCGTCCAGATGCAGTCAGGCAGGACGGGGCGCAGCGCTGCTTAATGCCTCATCACTATTATCACAGCAGCAGCTGTACAGCCCCAGATGAAGCACACTTACATCTACATGCATTGACATGCTATGTATTTAATGGTGTTTTAAAAACAATCAACTTCTGCAACTCACCCCAATAAATAGAAAATATTCCTGCAGACTTGAACGCCTCTGATCATAGAAGTGCTGCCGTTGTTTTCTTTCCACAGGAATCTTTATGGTGGACGCTGTCATCTTGGAAGTATCTCTTCTTCTAATAGTCGGTGACCATTGTGTGTGAGTGATGTGTTGGTGATTTTATGAATCCTGTGTTGCTGCAAACTTGCAGCGTATTGGTTTCATTCATAGTGAAGCCTGTATGTTAATCAGCTGTTAGTTTCCTCCCCACTGACAGAAACGACTCAGGTGAACCGGAATCTGTAAACAACCTGAACTAAAGCACAAAGTTGACCTTTTAAAATCTCTGGAGCTGAAGCATAAAGTGGTTTTACATGACATTTTGATAACATGTATAGAATCAATTCAGCATGTAGAGGCTGAGTGAATGTGGTCTGGACTCTGTGCAGGAGAAACACAGAGTGAGAAAGAAGCAGAAACGGAAGAAAATTTCAATTTTAAATAAACACACCAACTTAAGAGTGGAGATACTCTAAAGTAGCTGAGGCTTTAACAGGCAGGTTTTATTAAACTTAAGTTTAAGTTACAGTATAAAACAGTTAAGTAAAATTAAATCAACATCCTTTTTGTGTTAAAGAGCAGTTTAAGAACTGAAGAACAGAACATATAAAAAAACTGTCGTGGTTTTAGTGGTTGATCTGACGTTATTTATTTTACATTATATGAATAATTCCTAATTGCACTTTCTAGATCATTTGAATTAATGTTTTGCTGTTGTTTATTTTTACCTGCTTGACCACAATAGTGAACTTATTGTTTTCAGTTTCACTTTCTTTATTATTGATTTTGCATTGGCTGTTATACTCACTAACTGCACTGACAGAACAAATCAAAGTTGTTTTGACCAAGCTAAGTGTGCTGTACTGGTGTGAGAGTTATCAAATCTGTAATTCAATATATTTATGTCTCTATTATAAAAGAAGGTTACACTGATTGGTCTTTTTTTTTTTAATTAGGCTCCCATGTATGACAGCTTGTGTTCATGTTTTATCTAATGGGTGAATCAGGTTATTAGAAAACAAATAACAGAAAATATCACACTTTAATCTAAATTAAATAAATATTGCATTAATTTAATTTACAACACTACACTGAGTCTTCCAGAAAGAGAGAAGCTGATTTGTGCCTCTTTGTTCAGGTCATAGTTTAATGAATATTGTATTTGGCGCCATCTGGTGGTCATATTTCTGTTTCTTTTGTCTCTTGTCTCGCCTCGTCTTCCCTGAAGCTCTGCAGAGTGAATGTTGTCCTTTTAGGACCACAGGACGTCCTGGACTCCAAATATCTTCCTGTTTTCAGTGATCAGAAACATTGATTACTCATTCTGTTTTCATCTGAAAACCACAACGATGGTTTCAATTATATTTAGAAATGTAGAGGGATTTTCTTTCAAATATAAAATGTAGAAATTTTATAATAAAATGCAATGAAATACAACACAACTGATACACCTATTTATAGTCAAACAGTGAATCCACTTTATTAAGATTATTTTCCAAACAAAGACGACTTTAGGTCCTCCGTTTGATCCGGAATCAGATCTTTGTCCAATAAAATAACTGATTGATGGTGATCATAATCACAGTTTCCAGGATTTGGACAATAATGTTTGGTCTGACAAAGCAATAAAGCTAAATGAAATTAGTTTAGGTGAATAAAAATACTTCCTGTTGAGTCTCCATGGCTGAACAGAAACAGGAGGGGGCAGCACCGAACAACAAAGCATCAACTAAACAACAAACTAGATGACAGTAACTCTACACTTTTCAACACAGAAACAACAATTTAGTTTAAGAGGCAAATTTTTACTGACAAGGCAATAAAATCATGAAACTGCAACAGATCCTGGTTCAGTGACTTTATCACAATAACCTGATGACAGCATTACAGCTTCATAGGATAAATGTTGAACTTTGACCTCGTCCGGCTCATCACTTCCACCCGTTCTTATTTTTGGCAATTAAGAGTTCATTTCACAGCTGGTGTGAAGTCAGCTTTTAATGAAAGTCTTTAAAGTTGTTCTTGTCACAGCGTCAGTTTCCCTGACACCAACACCACCGTCGTACTAAAACACACGTAACTTAGTGAGAGGGTGTCAATAATACAATATTGACAAAGAAAATAACATAAAACATATAAAAACACTTCGCTGGCTGATCCTTCCTTTTGAGGCAGAAATGAGATAATTAAAATAAATTCTTAAACTTAAATGATCTTCCTTCATTTACTTGCCAAAGCATGCCGTTACATGTCAAGCATCTCTAGTGTCCTACCAACGTACTGATTCCACTTCCTACCTTAATCTTCCAAAATAAGAGTCTTAAAAATATAAATAATACAAAATAAAACATGTAAATTAAAACTATGGCAGTAAAACGGCCGTCACCATGATTGGTTGTTTTGTGCAGGTGGAGTGAAGCGTTCTGTGTCCTACACTGAAGTCACCGTCTCACAGGACAGGAAGCCTCAGAGAATCACTGGTGAGTCGTCAGTCACTCTCTGGAAACACTGAGATGAACAAACAGTCCCTGAATGCATCACAGCCTTCAGAGCAGGTCAGAGCTGATATGGTTAAGAAACAGTTTGAACCGAAATTCAGTTCCCTTCATTCCACGGAAAACATCTTAACGTAATATTTTAAGTCTCAGTGATTGGAGCAGCATAACATCCAGCAGCAGCAAACGATGCAAAACGTTCAAATGTCTCCATGATGCTCAGGAAGAAACCAGCAACTCTTCACTGGTTCAGGCCAAACTGGGCCAGTTTGATCCCAGTTTGATTGTAACTGGTGTCTCTGCACAGACTGTCCATTCATCTGGAGAGGCTGCAGCTTTGAGCTGCATTTTCTATAATCTCTTCTCATTTCTTCACCTTTTGTGACGTTCAGTGAGAGATGAAAACCTTCCACTGGTCTCATTGATCTGTAGACAGACTCAACTTCAGGAGACACAGAAAAAACAAGAGAAAAACCAAGAGCTTCTCTTCAGCTGTTTCCTCTTCCTGGAGAAAAATCCACAACATTTTCTCATGTTTATCAGAAAGTTTGTGGGATTCCTGCAGAGTCTGTGAGCTGCTTTATGAAGAACCTTCAGGAGAACAAAAGAAAAAGTTCAGAGTCAAACAAAGAGCATTTTATTAGAGCATCACCTGCAGCACCATGGTGACATGACATCATCATGTGACCATGATGAGACTCACCTGGATTCATCGATAGTCTCAGATTGATCGACTCAACCTCCACAGTTTTCATGACGCCGCGGTTCATCAGGAATCATTGAGTTCTGCTCCACATCAACACAGGTCTGCTCTTGAGCAAGGCATCCAAACTGCAAGGCAGAGGCTCTCTGCAGGTTCTCTTCAAATCTGAAACAGGTTTATTATTTTTTATTAATCTGATGAACATTATGAGAAAGAAGCTCTGATGTAGTTTAATTATTTCTGACTTACTTTGAGTTTTTGGAGCAATTTTTCAAGCTGAAGATGAAAATTAAACTCAGAGAAATGATGAAGAAAATAAAGGGGAAAATAAGAAACAGCCTCGACCGACGACCTGAAATAAAAGAAGAAAAATGTCAGAAAACCCAAAATAAAATAAAAAAACAAGTTAAAACCTGTTTATTACCAGAAGCATCAGAGTTTGGACCTGCAGACTCTCTGTTCCTGCTGGTTTCCTCCTGTGGCGTCGAACTCATGACGTTTCTGGGAGGAATTGTTATTTTAGCAAAGTTTGAACCTGAAATAGAAACAATAACAGAATTTATGAGAAAAACAATTAAAAGCTGAAGTTTGGACCCGTTTGTTCACCAACATGCTGACAACCATTTCTACTTTAATTTTATTCGTTATGACAAAATATCACAATAAATGTTGTTTTGTTATGATAATAAGTTAATTAACCTGATTTAAATTTGTTAGTTTTAATGTGTTTAGTTTCAGCTATAACAGTCACTTTGTTTTTTTCTCCCCATTCTGTGGTTCATTTTTGTGATTGTTTTAAACATTTTTATGTTTTTTAAACATCGATTGGGTAAAAAAGACTCAGCAAAAGATACAATTTTTAATAAATGTGTTCAATTATCGCTGAACAACCAACAGAATCAGGAGTTTTATCTAAACTATTTTCCAGACCAGCAGAAGTGAAATCAGGAGGATCATTGAGCAACAGCTGATATAAACTGCTGATGTGTGAATTAAAAAACACAATAAATTAATAAACACAGAACCAAAGGACATTAGATCTATAATATGAGGATGTGTAAATGTCCAATATAGTTTCATTTATAGTTTTGTCCCCTATTAATTAATTTTTATTTCAGTTAACAAAAATATTTACTAAATTTCAGTGTAGTTTTTATTATAATAATCTTGACAGGGACTCAGGTGGGTCTCTGGATCAGATTAATCAGATACTTTTACACATGTTAATTTTCTCAGTTTTATTTCAGTTTTACAACATTTAGACTTTAAGGTTGTGAAATGAAGCAGAAACTCACCAAAGACTTTGAGTCGACATTCTGCATAGTTGACTCCATCTTCAGTTCTCACTCCACACCAATACAGACCAGAGTCTTCAGTCCTCAGTCTGGACACATGGAGTCTGATTCGTCCTTCTCTGAGGACGTCTTTGTTGCTCTGGACTCGTCCTGAAAACTGATCATCCTGAGACTCTGGAATCTCAACTCCTTCAAGAACCCGATAGAGAACTCGTTCTTTATCAGGTCTCAATAAGCTGCAGATAATGAACAGATTCTTCCAGGTTCCCTGAGTCTTGGTGGTGAAGGTCCACTCCAGAGTGATGCTCTGCTTCTCCTCTGCCTGATAGCTGCTCTGTGTCACATTCACTACAAATGTTGCTGCTGAGGAGACAGAGAGGGAAAGAGAGGAGCAGACACACTGAGAACTGGAACATGGGAGTCTTTCAGCTCCATCTAGAGAGCTTTCTGTCACAAAGACAAGATGGAGACTGACCACAGAGACATGAGCTGAGGATGAGGAGCAGCAGGATGCTGGACATCATCTTCATCCTGAGAGAGGAAGGAGGAGATCATCTTCATCTGGTCAGAAAACTCCTCAAGATTTAGCTGTAAAAAAACAAAACAACAAATCTTCTCTTAAGCACCAATAAATCAATCAATCAATCAAATTTTATTTGTATAGCACATTTCAGCTACAAGGCATTTCAAAGTGCTTTACATCATAAACACAAAACACAAAGGCATGCAACATAGAATAAAATACCAAGTTTTTTTTTTTTTTTTTTTTCTTTCCCTCTTCTTTTCCTTTCTTCCCCCTTCCCTTTGACACAGAATTTAAGCGCCTGTTACCGCCGGACTCCGCCGTCCGTTTAACCACGGGTATTTGCCGGGCCCCGTTGCCCACAACAGGAAAAAAAAAAATAAAAAAATAAAAAAAATAAATAAATAATAATAATAATAATAATAAACAGCCCTGCACTGTTGAAATGTTAAAATAAGCAGAACTTTTCACTTGATGTTAGGAGAGATTTTTATCTGCAGATTGAACTTTTGCTACAGATGATTTAACATTCACTAAATAAATGTTATTATTGACTTTATGCAATAAAATGCTTTTTGGTTTAAAGGGGATTGAATTGTTTGTTCATTGGGTTTTATTAATATATTTATATTATTATATTAAATAAGTCAAAGTGGTTAAATAAAAAATATGCAGAATATCTCTATTTTTTTCGTCTGGTTAGTTGGAATAACCAGACGATTATAGGAATATTTAATATTTTTACAGCAATATTCATTATTGTCCCAAAGGGGGGGATATTATGGTGCAACAGCAGCAATATGACAAGATTACGAAATGATAAGAATATAAAATATGAAGGGCAAACATTCCCCAATGGTGACAATAAAAAGGAGTGGTGGTATGTACCTGTGCAGGGCTGTGACACACCCTGACAGGGGAAATTAGGGTGTGTAAGTGACTGAAGGTCAGTGACGTCACTGGAGATTCACTTGAGATTAGCAGGGAAGACTATCCCTGTTGAAATGCACAGATTTTACAGAGATGAGACTGAGACAGCAAAAGTGCAAAGAACAAAAACTTTTAATATCACTTGCAAGTGGAGAACGACACAGATAAAATCATAGCAAACTCTAGGCGTGTTCTGGGAGGCTGAAACAATCACAGAATTATATACAGTTCCTTGGCTCACAGGAAGTGGGAGTCGTTTCTAATTCCCATTACCAAATTAGTTCACATAACATAAAATGGGGTTTTATGTTTGTGAAGATATGCTTTAACAGGTCAGATTTTTCTAACCAGAATAGTGGCAACAGAACCAAAAACAGCGGAACAAAGTCAGAAGAAAAAAAAGTAAATTAACTTAAAAACATGTCATGAACGTTTAACCAGTTTAAAAAGAGTTGACAATTATTGCTCGTTGTTTAAATCATATTTTCACAAACTGATCAAAGTTTGAAAGGAAACGCGTCCTGGTTGTTTAGTAACAGTTTAACGTAAGTTGAGGAGAAAAGCAGCAGCTTTTACCTTTAACAGGCGTCCAGAGCAAAATCCTGAACGGCTGCAGAAAATCAGAGACCAACTGGTACCGACATTACAACAGAAATATTGTCACTTCCTGTGCCGAACTGAAGCTTTCGTAGGTTAGAAACATAAATGGGGTGGAGCTACTGAATCATAGCAACGCAACAATACAAACCGCGATTAGTCATAGAGCAACAGCCAATCAGAGCCTCGACATCCTGGACTTCATGACGTAGCAGCTCTGGAGAGAAGGACTGAGACAACTCGGAGTTTTTATCAACTTCAGGTTGTTAAGCTGCTCTATAGTTTGTAGTGCTTTACAGCTAACTGTAAGTAAATAACATTTATTATTTATCAGGTTATTATTACTAATAGCAAAGTTCAATTGTATCCAGCTGATTTATTACATGATGCTGCAGGTTTACATAACAAATATAGAAAGAAGATAATGTTTATTTTATTTATCACAGGTTCATGTTAGATTTAGCTTTCAATCTATTATTGGTTGAATTGTTTCTACATTGTTGGGAGATTTATTTATTTTCCTGTTTGTGTCTTTCTTCTTTATCCTTTTGATTTTATATTTTTGTTTGATGTTTTTTCCTCTATTCCCGTTAGAGATTCTTTACATGTGTGTTTATCAACTTTAATAAAACCCTCTCTGTGGTTTATTTGGTGTTTTACAGCATGAAGGTAAGATCTGACCACTTGTTTCTAGATTATTGTTCAGGACAGACAGACTCAGGAGGAAAGTTTTATCAACTTATAGTTTGAGCATTTTAGTTAACAACAGTGCTGAGCTGTTTGTATTTGTTATGACTTTAAGAATCTAAAGTTTCACTCTGTTTCTCATAAACGAGATTTAAATGTCACTTAAATTGCAAAAACCAAATCATGTCAGACAGAAGTCATGGTGAATGTTGATGTTTTAGTAACCAATCTAGCCATAAACAGGGAAAACAAATATAATGAGGCTATGCCAGTTTTGAAACCAGTAAGATCAAATGGTTGGAGTTTAAAAACCCAGTTCAGAAAGCAGAAGAGAAAATAAAATTCTATTTTAATAAAATCATGTTTCAGAAATAATTTACTGAATAAGAAACATTGACCTACCATTTGGACAAGTTAATAATGTTGTGATCAGTAGCTGATTTAATGGACTTATGGTCACTAATGAAGGTCTTCATTACTTGAATGAAAACACTTTAAATGTGTGTTGAAGGATAAAAGACAGATACGGATTGAAGTATTTTATTGTTTGTGTTTTCATGCAGTGTCATCTCAGCTGGAACTGATGTTGTCCTGTTAAAATAAAACAAACCAATTGAAGTATTGTAACTGTTGAAATGCATTAAATGTGTATGTAGATTGTGGCTTAACTCTGTCTCTTCCTCTGCAGGATGTTCAGATCTCCTGCCTCAACATTCCTCTTTAAACCTGCTGCTAAGCCATCATGACAGATACTAACAAGGGGCGCTGCAATAAGTTTAAAGTCTGTCCAGATATATTTTATTATTGATAAAATGAAGGAAAATCAGAAATAAAACAAACACACTCACATTACTGAATCCTCACTTTTCAACCAAAGTTAGTCACAACTTTAAAGTAAAACTCTAAACAAAGAGTGAATTCGACTCTCCAGCTTTATTAACTCACACAGTTCAGCACAACAAGAAAAGCAAAACAATATAATTAACAAACTGTAACTGAATAAATAACAGTTGACAGGTAAACTGGTTGAGTCTGATCAGAGCAAACATGGCCGCCGCTCTGGTTGGACTGGCGGCGTGTCAGACTCAGAGCTGTGGTTTCAGCGCTGTGCTCCTCAACAGAAGGAAAACCACTTCATGATCAGTCAGCCTCTTTCAGAGCCTTTAGATTATATCAGGCGGCTAGCTTCAGGCCGTTAGCCTGACGGATGGAGATCAGCCACCGGATCCACAACAGCAGAGCAACCGCTACCATGGAGCCAAAGTTTATCATCGAGGTCAAGATGTTCATGAACCTCAGGCTGCTCCTGAACACAGCCTGAGAGCAGGGAAAGAGGAGCAGGGTTTGGTAGCGCTATGACGTCACAGTGAGTCCAGCTGCAACAACAACAATAAAACAGATTAATAACTTTAACAGATTATTAATGTTAGAAGATTATTACCATTAATTATAACCATTGTTACTGGGAACCAAACATAACGCTTACTTCACCATTATTTCATCTAAATATTACACTCTTCACTGAACTGATTTGACATCAAATCTTGGTTGATTTGATATTTTTTAGCTTAAAATGAGGCTCCAAAATCTACCATTCCTATTTCTGCAGGTCTCTTGATGTTTTCCTCCCTTTTGGTCCAGTTAGTGTGATTTTATAAATAATTTAAATGTTTCCTGAAAACCTCAGCAGAGTTAAAAGCCACCATGTTGCTCTGCACTAACTTCCCAATTTAACTTCTTGAATTCAGCCACTGTCTCTTTAAGAAGCTCCTTCTCTTCTGTATAGCATTGAGATCTATACATTTCTCTATATCTTCCTCCCTTCATGAACTCTGGTCTTTATATTTTCTTTGTTCTGTCAGTTTAAAATAATCCTGTCGCTCCAACCTGATGCAACCCAGATTATTTTAGTTTTCCTCTGCAGTACCGAGAGGTGGACACTAGATGTCCCTGTTCATTTGTGTCACAGGATTCAAAGCTGTGACTCATTGATTTTGTCCCATAAACTCCTCATAAACATCAACTCATCTCTGCTGCCTGCTGTCAGCCATGATGGAGACATTAGAGGATTTTATTTTTGGCTTTAAACAATAAATGCTTTAAAAAGAAAGACTTTTTCATCTCAAATGTAGATGTGACATTTTCACCAACGACCACTCTAGGAAGGTTTAATAAGGAACAATCCATTAATGGAGAAAAACCTGCAGCCTCACTGTTAGCTATGGTAGATCTGTGATGCTGTGGGCCTGTCAGAGGATCAGGGAATCTTGTTAGACTGAATGGTTTTGTTGTGCAAAAGGGATGCAACCATGTTTAGCTTACACAAATATCAATAATTAATATTAAGTTATTGCTAATATAATTATTAATAAAAGTGTCTTACAGTTACATAATCTGGAAAAATTATCCCAACACCTTCAGTCTCTTGTTAATAATCTAATGTAACACTACAGGACGTCTGACGCTGCAACAATAAACACAAACTGTTTCTCTCCAGAGTATGAGAATTTATTTTAAAGAAATAACTCAACCATAAAGTACATAAACTACAAATATGCAAGTGAATAATAAAATCTAAATCTAATCAACTAATATGATGATGAAAGAACCTGGAATACTGAATAATATGAAGATTATTGAACTAATAGTGCCTAATAATAAACAGAAATGTGGCAAATCACAATTCAGCAAAGACAAGCATAAGAAAAACAATCAGGATGATTTTTACATCATGTTTCCATCAGATCATCAATACATGGATTTGATCAACATTTAATCTGACACAGCAATAAATGTCGACTTGATCAGGGGTGAATAAAAATCCTTAGATCAGAAACAGGAAGGGGCAGCACCCCAACAAACTCAACAAAACAAACAAGATGATAAAGTTGCTCCATAAAGGCAGCTGATCTCTGATCAGTGAAGAAACAACAAACTGGAACTAAAATACACATTTTAACCAACTGGAGCTCAGATCACTGCTGACTATTTAGTTTTAATAAACTCAACAGTCTCCAAAACTCAGAGGCGTAATCCCAGCATACAGAGGCTCAGTGAATCTGGTCTGGACTCTGTGGATCAGAGTCATGGGTCCAGAGACGTTGTAGAAAGACAGAATACCTGCTCTGTGGTCCAGATACACTCCCACTCTGGACAAATTAGAACCTGGTACTGGAGTCACAACGTTGTGATAAAATACGGTACAGACCAGGTGACAATATAAGCACCAAGATTTGTCATTTTGTCCAAATTCTTCTGATCTGTTCATGTCCTTGTAGGAAACTCCGACACCAACTAGTCTCCCAGTCCACGCCACCTCCCAGTAACAACGTCCAGTCAGACTCTCTCTGCTCAGAACCTGCTTATGAACAGAGAATCTGTCTGGATGATCCGGATAAAACTGTTGCTGTCTTACAGTTTTAGATTTTCTGTTCTTCTTAGATATTGAAAGCTTCTTGTGTGCTGTGTTTGGATCCAGAGTGAGTTCTTGGAAATACTTTAGGAATTCACGTCTGGTCTTTGGTTCTGGTTCTGGTTCTGTCAGTAGAACATCAACTTTAGTAATGTCCAATTGTCTCTCAGGATGTCCTGAATTATGTCTCTGAGCTCTGACAGCTGCTCATGTCCTCAAAGTGTCTGTGAAAAAAATATCAACTACAGAGTGTAGTAATATGTTAGACTTATCTATCAAAGCAAAACCAAGTAATTTATTTTCTACACTTTTCAATATAGAAACAACAACTTAGTTTAAGAGACAAATTTTTACTGACAAGGCAATAAAATCATGAAACTGCAACAGATCCTGGTTCAGTGACTTTATCAGTTTTTATTAATTCATGAACTTTGACCTATAATCTGATGACAGCATTTCAGCTTCATAGGATAAATAGGATAAATGTTGAACTTTGACCCCGTCCGGCCGTCACCATGATTGGTTGTTTTGTGCAGGTGGAGTGAAGCGTTCTGTGTCCTACACCGAAGTCACCGTCTCACAGGACAGGAAGCCTCAGAGAATCACTGGTGAGTCGACAGTCGCTCTCTGGAAACACTGAGATGAACAAACAGTCCCTGAATGCATCACAGCCTTCAGAGCAGGTCAGAGCTGATATGGTTAAGAAACAGTTTGAACTGAAATTCAGTTCCCTTCATTCCACGGAAAACATCTTAACGTAAGTTAATTTTAAGTCTTAGTGATTGGAGCAGCATTATAACATCCAGCAAAGCAGCAAACGATGCAAAATGTTCAAATGTCTCCATGATGCTCAGGAAGAAACCAGCAACTCTCACTGGTTCAGGCCAAACTGGGCCAGTTTGATCCCAGTTTGATTGTAACTGGTGTCTCTGCACAGACTGTCCATTCATCTGGAGAGGCTGCAGCTTTGAGCTGCATTTTCTATAATCTCTTCTCATTTCTTCACCTTTTGTGACGTTCAGTGAGAGATGAAAACCATCCACTGGTCTCATTGGTCTGTAGACAGACTCAACTTCAGGAGACACAGAAAAACAAGAGAAAAAACAAGAGCTTCTCTTCAGGTGTTTCCTCTTCCTGGAGAAAAATCCACAACATTTTCTCATGTTTATCAGAAAGTTGTGGATTCCTGCAGAGTCTGTGAGCTGCTTTATGAAGACCTTCAGGAGAAGAAAGAAAAAGTTCAGAGTCAAACAAAGAGCATTTTATTAGAGCATCACCTGCAGCACCATGGTGACATGACATCATCATGTGACCAGATGAGACTCACCTGGATTCATCAATAATCTCAGATTGATCGACTCAACCTCCACAGTTTTCATGATGCCGCAGTTCATCAGGAATCACTGAGTTCTGCTCCACATCAACACAGGTCTGCTCTTGAGCAAGGCATCCAAACTGCAAGGCAGAGGCTCTCTGCAGGTTCTCTTCAAATCTGAAACAGGTTTATTATTTTTTATTAATCTGATGATGATTATGGGAAAGAAGCTCTGATGTAGTTTAATTATTTCTGACTTACTTTGAGTTTTTGGAGCAATTTTTCAAGCTGAAGATGAAAAGCAAACTCAGAGAAATGATGAAGAGAATAAAGGGGAAAATAAGAAACAGCCTCGACCGACGACCTGAAATAAAAGAAGAAAAATGTCAGAAAACCCAAAATAAAATAAAAAAACAAGTTAAAACCTGTTTTATTGTCAGAAGCATCAGAGTTTGGACCTGCAGACTCTCTGTTCCTGCTGGTTTCCTCCTGTGGCGTCGAACTCATGACGTTTCTGGGAGGAATTGTTATTTTAGCAAAGTTTGGACCTGAAACAGAAACAATAACAGAATTTATGAGAAAAACAATTAAAAGCTGAAGTTTGGACCCGTTTGTTCACCAACAACATGCTGACAACCATTTGTACTTTAATTTTATTCTGTTATGACTTTTATCTAATTCAGTCAGTTTTAATGTGTTTAGTTTCAGCTATAACAGTCACTTTGTTTTTTTCTCCCCATTCTGTGGTTCATTTTTGTGATTGTTTTAAACATTTTTATGTTTTTTCAACATCGATTGGGTAAAAAACACTCAACAAAAGACACAATTTTCAATAAATGTGTTCAATTATCGCTGAACAACCAACAGAATCAGGAGTTTTATCTAAACTATTTTCCAGACCAGCAGAAGTGAAATCAGGAGGATCATTGACCAACAGCTGATATAATCTGCTGATGTTTATATAAAAAAACACTAAAATTAATAAACACAGAACCAAAGGACATTAGATCTATAATATGAGGATGTGTAAATGTCCAATATAGTTTCATTTAGTTATAGTTTAAAAACTCATTAATTAGTTTTTATTTATTTCAGTTAACAAAAATATTTACTAAATTTCAGCTTATTTTTTATTATAATTTTGACAGGGACTCAGGTGGGTCTCTGGATCAGATTAATCAGATACTTTTAGTTTCATCCATGGAGTCTGATTCGTCCTTCTCTCTGAGGACGTCTTTGTTGCTCTGGACTCGTCCTGAAAACTGATCATCCTGAGACTCTGGAATCTCAACTCCATTATGGACCCGATAGAGAACTAGTTCTTCATCAGGTCTCACCAAGCTGCAGATAATGAACAGATTCTTCCAGGTTCCCTGAGTCTTGGTGGTGAAGGTCCACTCCAGAGTGATGTTCTGCTTTCCCTCTGCCTGATAGCTGCTCTGTGTCACATTCACTACAAATGTTGCTGCTGAGGAGACAGAGAGGGAAAGAGAGGAGCAGACACACTGAGAACTGGAACATGGGAGTCTTTCAGCTCCATCTAGAGAGCTTTCTGTCACAAAGACAAGATGGAGACTGACCACAGAGACATGAGCTGAGGATGAGGAGCAGCAGGATGCTGGACATCATCTTCATCCTGAGAGAGGAAGAGGAGGAGATCATCTTCATCTGGTCAGAAAACTCCTCAATATTTAGCTGTAAAAAACAAAACAACAAATCTTCTTAAGCACCAATAAACAGCCCTGCACTGTTAAAATGTTAAAATAAGCAGAACTTTTCACTTGATGTTAGGAGAGATTTTTATCTGCAGATTGAACTTTTGCTACAGATGATTAACATTCACTAAATAAATGTTATTATTGACTTTATGCAATAAAATGCTGTTTGGTTTAAAGGGGATTGAACTGTTTGTTCATTGGTGTGTATTAATATATTTATATTATTATATGAAATAAGTCAAAGTGGTGAAATAAAAAATATGCAGAATATCTCTATTTTTTTCGTCTGGTTAGTTGGAATAACCAGACGATTATAGGAATATTTAATATTTTTACAGCAATATTCATTATTGTCCCAAAGGGTTGGGATATATTATGGTGCAACAGCAGCAATATGACAAGAATACGGAATGATAAGAATATAAAATATGAAGGGCAAACATTCCTCAATGGTGACAATAAAATGGAGTGGTGGTATGTACCTGTGCAGGGCTGTGACACACCCTGAGGAGGAATTATGGTGTGTCACCAAGTGACTGAAGGTCAGTGACGTCACTGGAGATTCACTTGAGATTAGCAGGGAAGACTATCCCTGTTGAAATGCACAGATTTTACAGAGATGAGACTGAGACAGCAAAAGTGCAAAGAACAAAAACTTTTAATATCACTTGCAAGTGGAGAACGACACAGATAAAATCATAGCAAACTCTAGGCGTGTTCTGGGAGGCTGAAACAATCACAGAATTATATACAGTTCCTTGGCTCACAGGAAGTGGGAGTCGTTTCTAATTCCCATTACAAATTAGTTCACATAACATAAAATGGGGTTTTATGTTTGTGAAGATATGCTTTAACAGGTCACAATTTCTAACCAGAATAGTGGCAACAGAAGCAAAAACAGCGGAACAAAGTCAGAAGGAAAGAAAAGTGAATTAACTTAAAAACATGTCATGAACGTTTAACCAGTTTAAGAGAGTGACAATTATTGCTCGTTGTTTAAATCATATTTTCACAAACTGATCAAAGTTTGAAAGGAAACGCGTCCTGGTTGTTTAGTAACAGTTTAACGTAAGTTGAGGAGAAAAGCAGCAGCGTTACCTTTAACAGGCGTCCAGAGCAAAATCCTGAACGGCTGCAGAAAATCAGAGACCAACTGGTACCGACATTACAACAGAAATATTGTCACTTCCTGTGCCGAACTGAAGCTTTCGTAGGTTAGAAACATAAATGGGGTGGAGCTACTGAATCATAGCAACGCAACAATACAAACCGCGATTAGTCATAGAGCAACAGCCAATCAGAGCCTCGACATCCTGGGACTTCATGACGTAGCAGCTCTGGAGAGAAGGACTGAGACAACTCGGAGTTTTTATCAACTTCAGGTTGTTAAGCTGATCTATAGTTTCTAGTGCTGTACAGCTAAATAAATAACATTTATTATTTATCAGGTTATTATTACTAATAGCAAAGTTCAATTGTATCCAGCTGATTTATTACATGATGCTGCAGGTTTACATAACAAATATAGAAAGAAGATAATGTTTATTTTATTTATCACAGGTTCATGTTAGATTTAGCTTTCAATCTATTATTGGTTGAATTGTTTCTACATTGTTGGGAGATTTATTTATTTTTCTGTTTGTGTCTTTCTTCTTTTATTCTTTTGATTTTATATTTTTGTTTGATGTTTTTTCGTCTATTCCCGTTAGAGATTCTTTACATGTGTGTTTATAAACTTTAATGGAGATTTTGGGGAAAACAAGAAAAGATCTGACCACTAGTTTCTAGATTATTGTTCAGGACAGACAGACTCAGGAGGAAAGTTTTATCAACTTTAAGTTAGAGCATTTTAGTTAACAACAGAGCTGAGCTGTTTTTATTTGTTATAACTTTAAGAATCTAAAATTTTACTCTGTTTCTCATAAACGAGATTTAAATGTCACTTAAATTGCAAAAACCAAATCATGTCAGACAGAAGTCATGGTGAATGTTGATGTTTTAGTAACCAATCTAGCCATAAACAGGGAAAACAAATATAATGAGGCTATGCCAGTTTTGAAACCAGTAAGATCAAATGGTTGGAGTTTAAAAACCCAGTTCAGAAAGCAGAAGAGAAAATAAAATTCTATTTTAATAAAATAATGTTTCAGAAATAATTTACTGAATAAGAAACATTGACCTACCATTTGGACAAGTTAATAATGTTGTGGTCAGTAGCAGATTTAATGGACTTATGGTCACTAATGAAGGTCTTCATTACTTGAATAAAAACACTTTAAATGTGTGATGAAGAATTAAAGACAGATACGGATTGAAGTATTTTATTGTTTGTGTTTTCATGTAGTGTCATCTCAGCTGAAACTGATGTTGTCCTGTTAAAATAAAACAAACCAATGGAAGTGTTGTAACTGTTGAAATGCATTAAAATGTGTATGTAGATTGTGGCTTAACTCTGTCTCTTCCTCTGCAGGATGTTCAGATCTCCTGCCCCAACATTCCTCTTTAAACCTGCTGCTAAGAGCCATCATGACAGATACCAACAAGGAGGCGCTGCAATAAGTTTAAAGTCTGTCCAGATATATTTTATTAGTGATAAAATGAAGGAAAACCAGAAATAAAACAAACACACTCACATTACTGAATCCTCACTTTTCAACCACTTATTGAAAACAAAGTTAGTCACAACTTTAAAGTAAAACTCTAAACAAAGAGTGAATTCGACTCTCCAGTTTTATTCACTCACACAGTTCAGCACAACAAGAAAAGCAAAACAATATATTTAACAAACTGTAACTGAATAAATAACAGTTGACAGGTAAACTGGTTGAGTCTGATCAGAGCAAACATGGCCGCCGCTCTGGTTGGACTGGCGGCGTGTCAGACTCAGAGCTGTGGTTTCAGCGCTGTGCTCCTCAACAGCAGAAGGAAAACCACTTCATGATCAGTCAGCCTCTTTCAGAGCCTTTAGATTATATCAGGCGGCTAGCTTCAGGCTGTTAGCCTGACGGATGGAGATCAGCCACTGGATCCACAACAGTAGAGCAACCGCTACCAAGGAGCCAAAGTTTCTCATCGAGGTCAAGATGTTCATCAGGCTGCTGAACGCAACCTGAGGTGCGTTCAGGCTCCTGAACGCAGCCTGAGAGCAGGGGAAGAGGAGCAGGGTTTCGTAGCGCTATGACGTCACAGTGATCCCAGCTGCAACAATAAAACAGATTAATAACGTTAACAGATTATTACCATTAATTATAACCATTGTTACTGGGAACCAAACATAACGCTTACTTCACCATTATTTCATCTAAATATTACACTCTTCACTGAACAGATTTGACATCAAATCTTGGTTGATTGATATTTTTTCAGCTTAAAATGAGGCTCCAAAATCTACCATTCCTATTTCTGCATGTTTCTTGATGTTTTCCTCCCTTTTGGTCCATTTAGTGTGATTTTATAAATTATTTAAATGTTTCCTAAAAACCTCAGCAGAGTCAAAGCCACCATGTTGCTCTGCACTATCTTCCAATTTAACTTCTTGAATTCGGCACCTGTCTCTTTAAGAAGCTCCTTCTCTTTCTGGATTTAGATCTATACATCTCTCTTCATGAACACTGGTCTTTATATTTTCTTTGTTCTGTCAGTTTAAAATAATCTTGTCGCTCCATCCTAATCCAACCCAGATTATTTTAGTTTTCCTCTGCAGTACCGAGAGCTGGACACTAGATGTCCCTGTTCATTTGTGTCACAGGATTCAAAGCTGTGACTCATTGATTTTGTCCCATAAACTCCTCATAAACATCAACTCATCTCTGCTGTCAGCCATGATGGAGACGTTTGAGGATTTTATATTATAAATGTAGATGTGACATTTTCACCAACGACCACTCTAGGAAGGTTTAATAAGGAACAATCCATTAATGGAGAAGAACCTGCAGCCTCACTGTTAGCTATGGTAGAAGATCTGTGATGCTGTGGGCCTGTCAGAGGATCAGGGAATCTTGTTAGACTGAATGGTTTTGTTGTGCATGTTTAGCTTAACAAATATCAATAATTAAGATGAAGTTATTACTAATATAATTATTAATAAAAGTGTCTTACAGTTACATAATCAGGTAAAATGATCCAAACACCTTCAGTCTCTTGTTAATAATCTAATGTAACACTACAGGACGTCTGACGCTGCAACAATAAACACAAACTGTTTCTCTCCAGAGTATGAGAATTTATTTTAAAGAAATAACTCAACCATAAAGTACATAAACTACAAATATGCAAGTGAATAATAAAATCTAAATCTAATCAACTAATATGATGATGAAAGAACCTGGAATACTGAATAATATGAAGATTATTGAACTAATAGTGATATATAATAAACAGAAATGTAGCAAATCACAATTCAGCAAAGACAAGCATTAGAAAAACAATCAGGATGTTTATTACATCATGTTTCCATCAGATCATCAATACATGGATTTGATCAACATTTAATCTGACACAGCAATAAATGTCGACTTGATCAGGGGTGAATAAAAATCCTTAGATCAGAAACAGGAAGGGGCAGCACCCAAACAAACTCAACAAAACTAACAAGATGATAAAGTTGCTCCATAAAGGCAGCTGATCTCTGATCAGTGAAGAAACAACAAACTGGAACTAAAATACACATTTTAACCAACTGGAGCTCAGATCACTGCTGACTATTTAGTTTTAATAAACTCAACAGTCTCCAAAACTCAGAGGCGTAATCCCAGCATACAGAGGCTCAGTGAATCTGGTCTGGACTCTGTGGATCAGAGTCATGGGTCCTGTTGGAGCTATTTATTCTTTATTTCTTTATCTATCTATTTGAATTTTGTTAGTTTATTCTTAAACTTCTATTTTTTGCATTATTTACAGAGTTTATTTGCAGGTTAATAATTGATTTTATATTTTGTTTTGTTTTCTTATTTTTTCCTATTTTTTATCATTTGTAAGCTAGACAGGAAGTGAGGCGGGTCAGTCCACCTTCTATAAATGTAGGGGCCTGGTAAAGGACCAACAGGCATTTGGGTTTGGGGCCTATGGTTTTTACCAGTGCAAGAGATCAGAGAGAGAGATCAGTGCCAGAGAACAAAGAAAAGTTGATAATTGTAATTGCTTGCATAAAAGGAAAATAAAAGCAACAAAGAAAATCAACAAGTTTGGACCTTGGGATTCTTTTGCCTGTGTTAAGAATCTGGACCCCAGTGCCTCATAGTGGCTGATGGAACTTTTTATTGGATGTTTGGTTTGACAAACAATCGCCACTACAACAAGTAAAAACCCACCCTGTGGAACAAGTAAAGACCTTCTCATGGATCAAGTAAGGAACCAGCCTGTGGATTAAAAGGAATAATTCCTCCTTAATGGACATGTCGGATTTATGGATCTCAAGGATTACCATCAAACAAAAGGTTTTGGACCGTCTTTGATGAAATCAAGCGACTTGCTGCGTGAGGCCTGGATTGACACGTCACTCATTCATCAAACTGGTACGTGACAATATTGTTCAAGCCGTAAAGGACAAACGGTGAAACTACTGGAGTTTAAAGACATTATTTCACTGCAAAGACTGATGAGATGAGTTTGATGTGACAAATTGACGCATAATTGGATTCAGACGTGTGCCGACGCTCATCATGGAAATGTTTGTTCACAAGAATCAACCTCTTTAAACAAAGAGACAAGTTTGTGCTTCATCCTGTGGATTCCTTGTGGATTAATGTCCCTTTAAAGGTTTGAAATAATTCAAAGGATTGCTAAAAATGTCTGATGTAAAGAGCAAAGAGGATGACACTCGGATGTCACAAGAGAAAAGAAACATCAAATTCACACAAAAGGGTTTGGAGTTTTATGTGAAAACATGTCAAGAAAAACGAAGTTTAAAGTGCAAACAAGCTTCAAACCTTGTGGAGAAAATCTCCGCATTAATGACGTCACAAGTGTCTTCTGACTTTGTCAAGTTTATTAAATGCTATCAAGATGCAACTGAACAACATAAATCCTTTTTAAGTTTGCCATTGCCAGAAGAAGAAGTGAAAAGGCAAACTGTGTATCTTCAGTCCAAGGTGACGGCATTCTCTGATTTTATGGACAATGTAAAGGTTTGGTTGCATGAAGCAGGATATCCATATACTGAACAAAACAATAAGGTTGATGATGATCTAGTTGCAGAGGTGAATGAAATAAATCCTGAAGACAGT